TTGTCCTTCAACATCCCCCGCCGATTCCAGTGATGCGCGAGAGTTCCGCCAGCACCACCCCCCGCCAGATGATCCTACCGCCTCCTCCGCTCCAGCCGTGGTACGTGCTCTGGTGGAGCGCAGGCGGGACAGGACCCATCACCTCCGGCTCTCCCCCCGGCGCCGCTGCCAGCGGACGCATCGGGGCAAACGAAACATGAGCCCCCCCCGATCGTTGCCCGACTTCCTTTCTTTCCACGGTCGAAAGGGGTGTCTACCCCCGGCCCTAAGGCGGCACGGCAGGTTCCCTGGATCGGAGGGGGGCACAGCAGTGCTGCAAACGAGGCTACATCCACCCCCCCCCCGCAACCACGGTGCCGGTATCGAAAGGGTGAGAGGACGCCGGCCGCCTCTCGCCATGCTGTCGCTGTCGCTGTCGATCTAGGTATCACACCCACATCCTCCTCGGCGCACCACCCGCCCATCATCGCGCATGCGGTCGAGTTCCATTGCATATTTACCCTCGCTGTTGTTGACGTTACCGTCGTAGCCCTGCCGCCGCTCTCGCCGCGAAAACGCGGGCGCTCTGACCGTTCTCCCCACCGATGCAGCGAGGGGGGGAAACAGTCGCTTCCGTCTCAATTCCGCTAAGTGTCCGCATCGAGTTCAATGGCGCTCTCATTGCTGACGGCTGCGCCTTCTGAATCTCCGACGCCCGCAAAAGCCGCAGCACCCTCCTCGCCTATCTCCGCTACTTGACATAAATCGCACGGAACTTGCTGTCCCAGCTATACACCCTCTCTCTGCTGTTCCGGTCCATGATGGCTTTTCTGTACCAGCTGGTATACATTACCCAATGGCCACGGTTCCAGATTTAGTAGTATATACATCCAGAATAGGACGTCGGCCCCTTTGTGTTGCCCGACTCAAGAGACAGGTCAGACGTCAAAAATTCGCTGCCCACACCAGGCCATCACTATCGTGTTTGTGTGCGGCGGCGGCGGCAGCAGCAGCAGCAGCAGCAGCAGCTTCGTCTAAATGCCGAAGGAGCCAGAAGGTTGGACCAAGACCCGAAAGAGAGTGACAGACATGAGGGATCGAGGCAAGCAGGACCTCGCCCTGCCGTGCCCATCTTGACCCATCTATCTCCGTAGAATAGAACTCAGCCGAGCACCCCCGAAGAGGCCGTGACGGCTAATGACTCGGTGGCTGAGGGAGCTCGAGGGGGGGTAAGGGGTGGGTGGGTGGTACCGTTTACTCCATCTACTCCCATGTGGATCTGTGGGGGACTTTGGGGGGTACGTGGGGTGCGTGATACGGAGGACGCGATCCCCGGCAGCGCGCAACGTTCTCGATTCAAGTCAAGGTCATCCTTGCGGTGTCTCTCTTGGTTCTAGCACTAGGCTTGCCACCTCCTCCAAAAATCACGGTGTGTACGGGCCATTATTATCATTGTGATTGGGCTTTTCCCTGCTCTTATCTAGTGTCCAGGCCGTAGACCATCGCACCGTCCTGGTACGGAAGTATGATGTCGCCGGGGTCTCGCCGACCAGAGGCAACAATTCTTTTTTGTGGTATTAATCGTTGGGATGGACGGCTGGATGTAGTATGGGTTGCGATTCAAGCGAGAGACTGCTCGCCGGCCGGAGTTTGCTCCTGCTTGTACCGCTGTTGGTTTTGTTCTTCAGACCAAACACGTGACCTCTACCCGATACTTCTCGCGAGTGGACAGCAGTAGCTGCCTTACTACACGTGTGTTTTTATGTTATCCTTTCGATTCGAGGCCACATCAATCTCTGTCGTGCCATACCGCACGGAAACCGACCAAATCTCCTATCTGCGACTCTTCGACTTGGGTTCGGGTTCTTTGTTGGCTTGCAGACAAGCAGGCGGCAAGCAACCTAAAGCAGGATGGCCTTCATTAATTCGCTGCTGCTGCTTCTGCTGCTGCGGACACTCATCATGGAGCCGTTGTGCAGCCAGCACCTGAATGAAAGGGTCACAAGACCGGCCAAGCAAAAAAAAAAAAAAGACACTCACCACACCACCCTACATACGACCCTTCAACTACAACAGCAGTACCACACACACAGCAGTCAACACCGTAACGAAAGTGCGGGTCATCGCTACCCCCTATCTCAGACGTCCACGGCTCGATTGCTCTACGACAGGTGGATGTGGCCAGTCAATGGCGAAACGGGTGGCTTTGGACTGAAGATCAGAGCTACTGCAGTTGTATGCATATGTAGCTGCCTTTCGTTGCACCTACACGTAATGCACAGCAGTCTGCACACTGGTCGGCTTTTTTTTTCCTTGGCTTTGGAGCAGTCGAGCTTTCTTTGCAAGCCGGACTGAGGGTGGGTGCGTTACACGGAGAGGGAGGAGGGGGGGGTAAAATGGAGCAAGACTAGCATACCAACGCAGGACACAAACCGGGTATAATGGTGTCATTCTACTAGCTGACTCACGCTTGAAGTAGGAGCTCAACACGTCCTGCCCGAAAGCTGCATTGTCGAGGATTCCGAAGGCAGTCCCCGTGCTTGTCCATGTCACGATAGCTGAGGCCTCATTCTGAGCGAAAAAAAAAACAGATCAACAAGCAAGCGGGGTAGAAGTTGCCTCAAACACCTTCCCACACACGAAGGAACGAGCGACGATTCACACATATTTGCCCATTCCGTCGCTGGGAACAAGCATGTCCTTTTGAAAGGTGCAACGAGAAGATTCTTCGCGCCCACAAGGAAGGGAGGATGTGCATGTGATATCTAAAAAGGAATCAGCGTCTCAACTCGATTCGTTCGTTCAGCGTTTTATCGCCACATGCGACATGTCTCGCTTTGCTTTCGATGAAGAAATCAAGAGCTTCGTATCGTGGTACGCAGCGTTCGTTCGTGAATTGCCGTGTGTCAACAGGCGACAAGCAATAATAACGATTCTATCTCATGCATGCCAAGCACACATCTATTTCACATTCTTTGCAGCAGACAGACCTTGAAGCAGCAGCCGTGCTGCCACTGGTGCTGCTGTGCTGTCGTGAAAGAATCAATGCAAGTGTATTCTTATTGATCATGAAGAAGGCTGACGACAAGCATCCATAGCACTCCCCAACAACATGGATGGGATGGGTACTCCGCCGGTACCGCCGATCTACCCCGCATGCACACCGTTTACGTTTGCTTGTTGCGAAATTCTGAGAGAGACAAGAACCAGGGACGGCCAAGGCCGGCCGGCGCGCGGACCAGAATAAACTACATTACATTACAGCAGCAGCGGGCGCCACCAACCCCTCGAACAGCGATCTCGATGATGCAATTCGTGTTGCCGTTTCGCCGTACGGCTGCAATCTATGTACTGCTGTAGCAGGAACTCCTTGTCTTGTAGCCTTGCGTCTCCACAAAAGGGTAACGGAGGTTCACCTATCTACCTATCTATCTACTCACGGACGAGCCGGAATGCGACCGAGGGGGCGGACGAAGCCCCATGGCCGCTCCCGGCCCACAAGCCGCCGTTCGTTGTTGTCTATCCACTATAATATAGCAATAGAAAGTCTTTTATCGTACCAACCTTCACTTTCGCGCGTGCATCTCTTTTGTGCGTGTGCGTGTGCGTGTGCCGCCAAGCGAGATAAGGTGGGAGACCAGAGAAAGAGAAGTGGCACAACAAAACAAACTGCATGTTGCAGCATAGTACAACAAAGACAGAAGGACCAGCCAGGAGAAAGTGTACAGACCACAAAGGCTTGATGTTCTACATTACAACAGAGGTCCTAAGAAGGCACTTGCCCCTCTCTTCTTGCGGTGTGAATGGCCCTACCTAAATTATTTCATGCACAGGTAGATGGCAGGAAGGCATGCTTGTTACGATATCAACCTTTCGTGTACAGACATACGCTCAGACCGCCCATGAATCCTGGCAGCATTTATTGTTGCGGTGTCTTCACTTTCCAGTCAGTTCCAGGGTACTTGCCCCTCCCTTCACAACTCTTGTGGGTCTGTGAAGACTACTCGGTGCGAGTATCTCAACCTTTCGTCAAGGCATGTGAGATAGACTAATCTACATAGATACATGGATACATATACGGTGCAGGAACTAAGGAAAGGGCCCCGTCTTCATGGCCGCCTACTCTCCTTCAAAGAATGGCCGGCGCGCGCGCACCGGGGGCGGGGGCGGGCGGTTCAACTTACCCTACTTTCACCCATGCAAATAGCCTAGACTCGAAAAACTCCGTTCTTTTCATTTGGACTTTGTTGACGATCTGACGCAGACGAAAACGTAAAAAAAAGTGTGGTGCGTACTTCACAGCTGGGCCCTTACCCTACATCTCTCGGGTACGGAGTACTCACCACGAACGCCAAGTTATCGGCGAGCGAGGGAGGAGTTCCGCAAGCAGGCAAGACAGTCTCGCGTGCGGGGAGGCATTGGGCGCCGCACGACAGGAGTGTTCTAAGTTCGTCTGTTTCACGGCTTTTTTAAGGGGTGCCGCTGCCGGAGAAGACACAAGTAATTGTTGTTGATGTTGTTGTTGTTGTCTTCACATTAAAACCGTTCCGATCTCTCTCTACCCAGAACCTGTCCGTACTGATCCAACACTTGACGCGGTCGATTACAGTGGTCACAGGCTAACTTACCCTAGAAAGATACGCTCAAACAAACTGGCCCCGAGGGTAATGGGAGAGACAGAATATTCTTGGGTTGCGTAATATCTCGTAGTACCAGTACAAGTAGTTGTTGTCGGAGAGAACAGTTATTTTCCTCGAAACATGTGTACCCGTGGATGTGAGGGACCGGTCGGTATAAAATTCGGTGCTTCATTCTATGGGGCACGGTTCGGTTTGTGTTCGCTGCCTACCGCCGCCGCCGCCGCCGCCGCCTCCGCGAAAACTTCACTCGACTCAAGTGTTACGCATACGACGATTTATAAGTTGCAGAGCGTATGATGACCAAAAGTTTGTTGACAACGAAAATCTTCTTGCGACACACCACACACAAACGCCGGCGCGCGGTACCGCTCGGTGAATTAGGTGCCTGCACCGCCGCGACCCTCGTCGGCATAACAACAGAGCATGTCCAAAGCCGGTGGGTAACCTATGCTCATCGCTCTCTGTCCCTACACGCGAGACTGACCAGACAGACATTTTCTTCAACTTACGGAAAGACCCACCAACAACCTGTTCTTATTATTCATTCTGCAATCTGGGTTTGTAGTCTACATACGCAACCTACCTAAAACAGGGTATATACAGGCTTTGTGGAGCTGCTGCCTGCTGCCGCTGCTGTGATGGTCAAGCTCCGTTCGACTTGTGAAGTCCATGCATGCACAACTTTCGACGTATCAACCACTGGGGGAGGTCCTTCAACGATGATATGTACATCCGCAAGACGCCGGGGGGTCTTCGCGTGTTCAAGCTACACTACTGCTGTGTAGTACGTGAGGCCCTCTGTGAGGCCCTCTCTCTTCGCTCTGCATACTCCGACCACGGGAGGTGGTACAGAGGTCTCCTATCCATGAAAATGTGCTCAGAGGGAGGGAGACACGTGAAAGGAGCAGCGAGTATCTGCGGTAGGTTACAGCGGTAGCAGGCAGTATCCTGAGAAGCTTATTCGTATTCGGTGTTGTCAATGCACACGCTGCGTTGTTTGGTTCTCGACTACAGCCCACGGACCCGAGGGCAGCGACCCATGACATCCAACGGACATCCAATTGCTGCTGCTGGTGTGAAGCCGGGTGGCAAGCAGACACTTTACACACGTTCTATGGTGAACGAATCCCGGTAGCTACATGCAACCCGGTGGCAGTAGGACGCTGTGTGCGCAGATACTGGCCGTGAGCTGGCTGCCCAGCGACGTCTAGATTGGCGCAGATTTGGTGGCGCAGCACCGCAGTCACGCCTCGTGGTACAGGTGCTGGGGAAACGTCGGTGCTATGATATGCTAGCTATAGCTGATTGTTTCCGGGGTCGCTGCTGGCTGGCTGTCGAAGTTTACTGGCTGACCGGCGCGTGTGTGTGTGCGGGAACACCGATGTGAAGGCCTACACACGTGTACGCAGCCGTCAGGTAGACCAGAGGGCCAGCCACTTTGAACGAGGGGACACACACACCTCACGCCGTGATTCTCTCTCACCTTCAGCAAGTCGTGAAGGATGTACGGAAATCCATTCCCGGATGCCATCTCTCCTGCTGTTTATCGGCTCTCGCAACTCAGCAGGACACACGCGAAACACACGCACGCACCGCCGGGTCGCTAAACTGAAAGCACGGAACAGTGGCCCAAAGTTTTACCAAATCACCGAGGAGGAGTGCGCGGGAAAACAAACGATGATACAATATGCATCCAACCGGACGTTATCTCGACGAGCGGCCGCCCCGAGGGCGGTTCCGAGAGTCTTGGAACAAAAGACAGAATCCCGTGCATGTGTGGCAAACGGTGACCTGCAGTCCGAAAGAAGCCAGAAGGCCTCTCAAGAGATGTGACTGTTCATTTGTGTAATGACGTCACGTTCCATGGAACTGGTCAAGCCCGCGCGCGCTCTTTGCTCTCTACTCTCTACACGTCTACAATAATAATACCCTCCCACGATCACAACTGAAGGATCTTCTTCTATGGGCTAATGTCGTGAGCTCGAACACAGCAGTCGCAGAGGGGCTCCACACCGGCAGAGGGATCTTGGCGGGCTTCGCACGCGAGCACAGCAACACCCCCTTATGGCAACTGCTGTACCATGTAGTAGTGTTTCTCGCACAGCAGAGGAAAGACCTTCATCTTTCTCTTCCTTCACTTCTTTTGGAGAGTACATTGTTGTTGTTGTCTTCAAACCGTTCATTGCACTGCTGTGAATCAATCCATGATGGGATCTTGTCAATAATGAATGGGTGATGGATAGATTTAGATTTCAGATATCTTCTTCTTGTATGGAAGAAATAAAATACCGAAACGACCGACCGCAAAGATCTGCGAAGAACACAGCTGGTGGTACCGCAGCAAACCAGCGAGGTGCTTCGCGCGGATATGTTTCTTGCCGCTACTGCTGCTGCTGCTGCTGCTGCTGCTGCTGCTCGTTGCTGGGGCGAATTGTTGTTGTTGTTGTCTTCACAGTCAGTTGCTAATAATCCCAAATTCTAGCGACGACGCGGTCCGTGGTCACAAAAATGCTAGAGCCATCATCATCAGAAGATCCAAGAACACGCAAACTAGCAAGAAAGAAAGGGGTATATACAATCAAGCCCGAAGAGGTAACACCTACCCTATGCAGCACGTTTGCGTGCCCAAAAACTGAACTACCCGTCCACACACTACATTCGACTACAGCAGCATCACCCCCCCTACACTTTACCAAAATGAATGTCGAATGAATCGCTATAATTAGTGCGCAACGTGTCCGTCGGGATTGCTTGCCATTGCATGCACCCTGCTTGCTGTAGAGCTGATGACTGATGATACGTAGATATAGACTACACATACATGTGAAATGAACGAACGTTTCGAAATTTCGGTTCTTTCTACCCGCCCGTGGTGCTGTGTCACTGCTGCTCAAAAAAAGATCAGTAAGTAAGTACCTAACACATATCATCTGGACCTTCCCAACATAACATATATGAGATACACAAGACAGCTACCAAACTGTCTTGTTGAGCCTGTTACCCGCAGGGGAGATGTCCCTATATGCTGTCTGGGAAATCGTAGACAAACAGGCACTTTCTGACGCTATGAATCCATTGCTAATCTGTCTCTCAGACTCTTTTCTATGATAGAGATGGTTTCGTTGTGTCATATTAAAAAAAAAAAACAAGCTGTGTGTCTGGTGTCTGGTGTCCAGTGTTCGTTCTACGATATCGTAGAACATGTAGGCAGATCTTCCGTGTTGCATTCCGTCTCAACCAAGGTTCGCCGATCTGTCGGGAAGAACATGGCAGCACGAAAGAACAACAGCCGCACGACAGCAGAGGTGCCGATCATGTGCATGCTGTACAGCAGCAGTATAGTCTAGTCTACTAGATACAGACTCTCCGATCCTGAAGATCAATTCCTTCGTCCAGGCACCAGCGAAGCAGGTGGTAGGCCACACCCAGATCCACGCGCGCGTGCAGTATGATGGCTGGCGGTGATGATGTTGTTGCTTGTTGTGCAATGGTTCTGCGTACGCATGTAGACTATCCATGCTACATACATACATACATACACCGCTAGACTAATACTACTTCCTCTGCCTACTTCGAAAATACACGCACAATCAATCAATCACTGAACGAGACACAGGAAGAAGGAGTAGACCGAGATGATAGACGATGACCGCGTACTCGTTCGAGATACTACAACACACAGCAGCAGCAGCAGCAGCTGCAGCAGCAGCTGGTAGAACGAAGTATTTTTTCTTGCAGACAGAGTGTTCGTTTGTGGCGAAGAAAGAAAGCCGTTCTCTGCTGGCAACTGAGCTGCCTCTCTGTGTGTCAAAATTGCACCAAAAGGCAACAATGAATGAATGAACGGTCGGAGCTCGGAAAAACAACAATCGATCGATGATCATGACGATAACCACGGAATCACAAACAAAATCGCGCCGTCGTGGTGAACAAAAAAAGCAGTCTGAGGGCCGAGGAATTAAATTGAGCAATAGACTACTAATTTTTCGGCCCGAAACATTCCGAGAACGACCCAGTCGCAGGCTATTTCAGCGGTCCCCAGCGATGCCGGTTCGCATAACAAAATTTGCCTCTTTTATAAAATCTCCAACTTTCCAACTCTTTTCTATCATAGAGATGGTTTCGTGGTGTCATATTAAGAAAAAAAAAAAAAAGACATACTGTAGAGAGTACTAATATTACCGAATGAGGCTCTTCCCGTTCCAGGAGATTCGGCTGCATTTCGATGCGCAGATTGCTTTCCATGCGAATCGAAGCCCGTGAGTGTTCTGCTGTGTTCGGTCGTCACAGCGCGCCTATTCCGGCCTCGGGACTCGCCCTACACGCCGAGCTACGGCTGCTGAAAGCCGAAATCGGGTGCTGCCGGTGACGTCATCCCATTCATTTAGCAAGACTGGCGTCCGTGACAGATTTAGGATCTTTGAAAATACGAGGAATCAGCGATAGCTCCGCGCACACACACTTTTAGAACACCCCGAAGCGTCCATGTGTTCCGCTGGGTTCGGCCATCATGACGCACCATCTCCCGTCTCGAGACTCCCCCTGCACGCTGAGCTGTAGCAGCAAGGGGCTGGGTTGTGGGGAGCCGTCCGTTCATTGTGCAAGACAAGCAATTTCGCCTCTTTCTAGCGGCTGCTGGAAATTCACACAATTCTTTGCGCTCAGCGACGCATAGATATGCGTAGCTCTCCTTAGGTGTGTCCCATCTTCGGGGGATTTGTATGTAACAATATCGAAAAACAAGATACATATCTGCAGCCGAAGCCGTATGGAGGTTATTCGGATTTCAGATGGTCAGCAGATTTCCGGCCGTGACAAAGGTTCACGCGCACCTGGAAGGTGAACAGTACGTCACTTACCCCGATGACGCCACGCCTGAAATGCGCCTAGAAATTGCCGAAAACTCTCCGTCTTCCCTCATGACTTATTTCCAACGCCCGACTGACGCCATATTCGACTCACTAACCCTGTTGGACTACTACGAACAATTCACCGTCACAAAGCCGAAGAAAGACTTCCCAAAACCGACATCCGCACCGCCGGGGAAGTTCTTAGACTCCTATGGTAACATAATATCATCCAGATCACAAAATAAGCAACATGTGTGTCGCATCGTGTTCCAAAGTCCCGCCGTTGGAGACTTATTCTATCTCCGACTCTTATTGCACACGATTCCTGGAAGATGTTTCGATGATCTCCTTCTAGTGCCTCGGCCTGACTCTACATGCTTCAAACACGCAACCTTCCATGACGCCGCCCGAGCGCGGGGATTGGTGACTGGTGACGAAGAGTACACCCTTTGCATGGAGGAAGCAGCCTCTTTCCAAGTCGGACACCACCTTCGCGCACTGTTCGTTACCCTCATTTTAGATGGAGCTTCAGCCCCAAAATTGTGGGCAGAGTTTAAATTCAATTTGATCGAAGACTTCACCCTAATCATGACACAAGATGAATCAGTCCAAGAAGCCCTTAAGGAGATCGATTTAAAGCTTCAGTTGCACGGCAAAACCAACGAGCAAGTAAATCTTCCTGCAGCTGTGCACTCAAGAACAGAGTATGAGAGAATGAAAGACTCATTTAACTTGAACGACTGTAAGACATACGCCGCAACTCACGAGCGCAATCTGACCGTTGAACAACGTCACGTATACGACACAGTTATCCACTCGGTCAACAGCGAACAAGGGAAACCTTACATGATCGATGCACCGGCCGGCACAGGGAAAACATACACAGAAAAATGCCTTGCTGCAAAGCTGAGAGGTGACGGAAAGACTGTCTTGATTGTCGCGTCGACAGGGATTGCTGCTCTGCAGCTTCCCGGTGGCTGGACGGCGCACTCAATGTTCAAGCTTCCCATGGACGAAAAGATGTCTCCTTCGTGTGTGTGTAACATCAGCGCCCAAACTCAACGAGCAGAATTAATTCGAAAAAGCGATCTCATCATATGGGATGAACTTCCGATGACTCACCGATTCTGTGTTGAGGCTCTCGACCGAACACTAAAGGACCTCATGCGTAACACCTTGCTCTTCGGTGGCAAGACGATCTTATTTTCGGGTGATTGGAGACAGACTGGACCGATTGTCAAGTTTGGGTCTCCTACTGACACCGTTGATGCGGCGGTGATTTCAAGCCATCTATGGAGTAATATCTTCCGCCTTAGACTCACGAAATCTCAACGTGATAGAGACGATCCTGCCTACGCGTCATTTGTAAGAAATGTGGGAGAGGACGCACTGCTGACAACGACCCTGCCCGACGGTAGCAACCTCATCCCTTTGAACAACAGCTGCACGGATTCGCCAGACCAATTCCAGCTGCAATACACGACAAATTTCAACGACTTAGTCAACTTCGTGTACCCTGACATGTCAGAAGACGCGACGGCGTGGAGCGACCGTGCAATTTTAGCCACAACCAACAACGCCATTGATCGTTCCAACGAAATAATTTCAGACGAGCGACCGGGACGTTCTGTGTCCTTCTTCAGCTCTGACTCCCTCATCAAAGACGAAAATTCTAGCTCGA